CACTTCTGGCGGCGCCGGAAGCAACGGCGGACACGTTGGCCGTGCGGAACCTGGCCGAATTCTCCACCGCGAGGCCTCGGTGCTGTTGCCGCTCATCCCCGTCGCTTCCACCCTCCAGGAATAGCTCCGCCCCGAGCAAGGCTAAGTCTCGCAGCGCGGACGGAGTCGTATCTACCGCCGCCACCGCTGGCTTCGTTAATCGTTCCCCGTCGTTTATGCCGGCCCGTCGGTCGTCGTCACCCGTGGTATCAACCAAAGAGACGCGACCGCCGACTGACACGACCGATAACTTCGCGCCGGAGGCGGTGGTTCGGGGCCGGCGCCCATTGGCGCCGTCGTTTTGGTGGAAACCCGTGAAGGCGGGGTGCGCGCCGGTAGCCTGAGGCCCGCCGGAGCCCACGATGCGCAGATGTGAGATTTCGCTCTCCCTGTCGGAGGGAAAGGCCGGCGGATCAACCTGTGTGGTACAAGGTTAAGGGTTGAATCGGGAGGGTAGGGGGTTACGCGCGTTGTGTGCTTGGCGTGCTTGTTGGTCGGTGTTGTGGTGTCGTTGGGGGTTGGTCTGACCTCGCGTTTTTTCCTAGGGGAAAGAAAAAGCCAGGTGTGTCATGCTCGCCTAGACTATTGTACTTCACTCGCGGCACACACGAATGTCCGATGGCTCCCTTTAAGGCCAAAATGGTGTGACGAGGGTCGCACGCGTGACCGGGCACTCGCAGGACTCCACGGACACGTAGCCTTAATCGACAGTCGACACCGCCGTGCGAGTTACCCGGCAAGGCTAGCATGACATTTACCCCGAAAAAGAGGACAACCAACACCACATAGTCTCCAAAAAACAAACGTCAAAAAGAAAAAAAAACTAACAAATTCAACGAAAAAAGCAAAAGCAGCCGCGCACCTGCGCCACAAACGCCTGCCCCGGGGCCTCGAATACCGGGGACACTAGCTCCACCGTCCCCCCGTCCAGCACGAACAGGAACGGCGAAGCCGCCGTCTCCGACCTCCCGTCGGCCCAGGGGACGGCGGGGTCGCTCTGGGGCCGGGCCGGGCGGAAGCTGCAGCCGGACAGGACCGCGGTCGCTGTGGCGGCTGCGCCGGGTGGCAACTTACGGGAAGACGCCAAGATCGGCTGAATGGCGGCAGCGGCGGTGGTGGCCCCGTGGACAGCTGCCGGTGTGGCCGGAGCCTGTGAGGGTGCTGGCGGTGCCCCTGCGGCTGCCGCTGTCGCCGCCCCCACCGGCGCCGCGGCGGGGGTGACGGTCGATGATGCGCTTCCGGCAGAACTGGAGGGCTCCGGAGCAACGGCGGTGCGTGGTGTTGCCGCTGTGGCAGCCGCGATCGAATCGAGCATCGAAGAGCGCCTGCGACACGGGGTGGTGAGGGTCAGAAGATGGCGTCAGGAGGGCGTCGGCCGACGGAATGGTTGTGCAGCGCAGAAAAGGGAAAGCTTGATGATTTTTTCTGTTGCTTTTCGAATATTTCGTCTGGTCCTGAAGTACGCAGAAAGCCTGGTTCAGAATGTAGAACGACAGCCTTGCTCGAGCCCCACGCGATCCAACACCTCCTTTGCTGGCGGGAGGTGTGACAACCACGGCGCCCGAAAAAAAACACAATCGTCCGTCCACAAAGGTAGTTTTCGTCCCAGACTCCACTACGGCCATCCTCCAAACACGGCCCTCTCTCTAACCCATCTCACCCCTTGGACGGCGCTGCCAACACGGCGAGGTCGCCGCCCACCCCGTTCACCGCGGCGTTATCCCCCAACGCGCAGTCGCTCAACCGGGTCCCCCAACAATCGCTGGTGAGCATTATTGCCCCTCCGAAGGAAGGGGTCCCGCCCGACACCGTAGTGCTCGCCCCCCCCCCCCCTCCTCCGCCTGGTGCCGTCCGCGACCGCAGAGCGAGCACCGCAGCAGCAGCAGTAGCGCCGCACGACGGTTTCATGTATGACGCCACCGAGAACGGGAACGGGGGCCACGCAGACGGCAGAAAACGTCAGATACCACGCATTTACTATTCCACGGCAGTAAATAGTGGACGAGGTGTTCATCACCGCCCTGAGCATGAACTGCAAAAAATGTGTGCTCTGTGAGGTCCTTCGGGCGAGCTCGAGACCTTGCGGGAAAACGATCGGAGGCGTGTTTTCTGTGTGGCAATTCTTCGCCATCCGTCCCGCAGACGCAGCATGAAGTGGTGCGTGCTGGCTCGTACGCCGCCTCCTTGAAGGGTACCCTGCCTCGCTACCGAGCTTGGGGTCAGGGTTAT